TACCACAGTGTAAACAGTGGAGAATCTGGAATTTTAGGAGGGGTGGGGGCGCCAAATAGTCAAGAAGGGTCGCGGGCCTGAAGACAGAGTTAAGGGGATGATCTCCTACTGGATCATAGGTTGGTACCTTTTAAGCAGTGGAAAATGTTATTTTTCATGTTTTTTTACATATTTGTTTTACCATTACATTTGACCGATGTAGTTGGAGAATCGACTATCAGGCCTCTAGTTATGAAAGTGGGATGGGTTGCGCCCTTGTCTAAATCTGCGTATTCTTAACTTAGAACAAAGTAATCCTAGATTACTTCCATCAGTTTACATATTCAAGGGAAGATTAAGTCGTAGCTTATACCAACTCCGTACCATCTCACCACTGGATTATAAGTAACAACCCACATCTTAGTTCAGTGATGACATAGAAGTATGGCGGAATAAGTATAAGCTCTTTAGAAAGGACAGTGATTTTGAACCTAAGCCGAGCGATTAATTTACAAGAATGTTAACTAATCTTAGAACACGCACACGAATTTTTTTTTATTAATTTATTAAATAGATTGTTTGTTTTGGATTTCGCGCAAAGCTACACGAGAGCTATCTGCGCTAGCCGTCCCTAATTTAGCAGTGTAAGACTAGAGGGAAGGCAGCTAATCATCACCACCCATCGCCAACTCTTTGACTACTCTTTTACGAACGAATAGTGGGATTGATCGTCACATTATAACGCCCCCACGACTGAAAGGGTGAGCATGTTTGGTGTGACGGGGATTCGAACCCACGACCCTCAGATTGCGAGTTGAGTATCCTAACCACCTGGCCATGCCGGGCTCCTAAATAAATAAATATAATTTTATTGTTTTAATTGCAATAACTATATTGCACTTGTATTTGTGGGTTAAGTGTTAGTTTGTATCTAATAATTACTTGTGTAAACCGTTGAATGTTATTGTAGGAATGATAATTGTGTGGATTAATGGAACGATCAATTTACGTTCTGTTTGTTTGTAATTAAGTACAAAGCTACACAATGGGCTATCTGTTCTCTGTCTACCACGGGTATCAAAACTCGCTTTCTTGCGTTGTAAGTCCGCAGACATGCCGCTGTGCCACTGTTTATTAAGTGTTGCTACTTATAGCTGGTGATTTTTAGAAAAGTAATTATATGGAACCTTTAACGACTTTGTCTACTTTACTGAGAATATATACTATTTTTTATGAGAAAATGGAATTTCTTATTAGATGTTGCCCTCTCGAATTATTTTCTAAACTATTTTCGTCTCTTGGTAAACATTTGAGTTAGTTGGTCATTAGTAGAGGCTGTAACAATTCTTAACCTGACTTGTAAATTTTCTGATTTCAGAAAACATTAAAATATATAGATTGGAGTTGCTTTATTTGTTTATTTTATTTTTCATAAAATATTAGCATAAACATGACATCGTTAAGTATCAGTTTTAATTGTTTCGAAAATAAGACCATCATACAATAGGTAACAAATCCGTATTAAATAACCAAACGTTAATCGTATGTTTTATAAACTGTTTAAGTAAGATCTATGTAATTCAACAGAAGAGGAAACTAAAAGTGGGGATGAGAGGAGCAAGGTTTATTTGAAGGAAGCGATGGAATGTGCGCTACGGGCGCACCCATTACAGCCGAGGGCCAGGTCTCGCCTTAAAGCCCTGGAAGCTTTTTGGATTCTGGAATAAATCTCATGCATTTTTCTGCCTTTATTGAAAGTAAGTTTCATAAATTTGATGCCTTTTTACTGGGACAGAATTCTTACGCCACTGTTCAAGTTTTGTCAGTCACTTTTATGTTAATACTACAGTTGCCTTTAAGGTTGGATAGATTGCAAATATTTTGTTTTTTGATGTTAGAAACGGTTGATAGTCCAAAAATATTGAATTTATCCAAAGTTTCATAAAAGTAGATATATTATGTTAAAACAAATAAAAAGGGTTTATATCACGACCGATTAATAATGAATAGAGAATAACTTCTGACACCAATAAAAATAAATAAATGTTTGTTTCTAATTAAGCACAAAGCTACACAATGGACTATTTGTGCTTTGCTCACTGCGGGTATCGAAACCCGATTTCTAGCGTTGTAAGTTCGAAGACATACCGATCATTTTGAGACGTGAGGATATCTCGTGTGCAATAAAAATGTCAGCTAAACAAGATACATTTTTAGGTAGTCAAGATATGATAGACAAAATAGGTAACTGCCTAGTGTGGCAAAATTAAAATAATTTCGCCGATAAATTTATCTGCCAGGGTCGCTGTGCGTTTGTATAATATCCCCTATATTATTATATTCCTCCAGCCAAAGCATATCTACTGGGATGGAGCGTTCAGTTTTCCTTCCTATGTTTTTTTTTTTTTACAGGAACAACATCGAATACAAATACGTAAAAATGTGTAACTAGAAATTTTTAAAACAAATCTCGAAATCAGACCACTGTGGTATGTAAGCAAGGCGTTAGCTTGTCAGTCTACTTTTTTTTAGAATGAACATATTCTATCAAGTTATTTTTTAAGTTTATAAATATTTGTATAAAACGTAAGACAGCCAAAGAGGGAAGACAAGTAAAACGGTAACAACTGAAAACCGGTTAAACAGTAAACTTAAGAAAAGCCTGTCTGATGGAAGGTATAGTGTTTCTAGTGCAAAGTGTCGGGAAATGGATTTGGAAAACAGACATACACTGTATTTGGAAAACCAAAAGGGCAGTCTTTAAAGTTTTCGATTTAGCAATGTTTCTCATTAAAAGAAAGTTAAGAGACTGTCATTATAATGACTCATAACTGACTCGTAGAAACTGATCTTAAGGGACTTTCTGAAACACTGCTTGGTTTTCCAAATCGGTATTTAGATTCTAAAGAAAGTGAATTTTGCTAATTTTGCCTATCACTCTGTTAGTGGAGAAAGAAGCTTTTACAAACTCAAATTATTTAACATCTATCCAAAATCAACATGACACAAACAAGACTGGCTGGAGTTGAAACAATTTCGATTGACATGAACTTCCACAAAAAAAAAAAAAAAAAGGAACGATGAAAGTAAGTGAAATTTCCAGGATCAAAAAATTTTGATTTGTAACTTTCTATGCTACATAATGCACTATCTATGTTCTGCTCACAGCGGGTATTGACAACCGAATTCTAGCGTTACAAGCCCTTAAACTTACTACTGAGTCACGGGGGAGAAGCATTATTTTTAATCCTACGGTTTTTCTGCACAAAGTAAAGTAAAACTGAAGGGGAAGGTGAAGATTACTAAGGATGACAAAATACCAAGCGCCGCATCTAAGTGTAGTGAACATGATCATATATTTGAAAATGTTCAACTTCTTCAAGTACTGTTTCATAGCAGTTGTTACTCTAAAGAATAAAACATACCACCCATTTTGTTATTTGAATGTTACTCTTAATAACGGATCAGACTGATTATGTATTTTCGACAAATGAAGAAGAAACATTTTCCAATTCCTAACTTTCTTTTCCTTTCAGTGTTTCATCATCGTCTCCCGGTAAGACAGCGGTAAGTCTCCGGATTTACAACGCTAAAATCAGTGGTTCGATTCCCCTCGGTGGATATAGAAGATGTGGCTGTGCTATAATAAAAATACACACGAACGCGCTCTTCATCATCTTAACGCCGAAAATGTCAGGGTCGTCGTTTATAGAAAATTTTGTTGCTGTTGGGGGGGGGGGGATTATGGTTTAATACAGTCTCCAGTTTAACGGACACAACAACGAAGAAATACTAAAAAATATATAGATGTTTGTCTTCAGTTTAACCAACGAATAAGTCCTTAAGTCCTTGAACTGCACATTGCACAATAATACTTAAAGGTGTAATTTTGGATGATTGTTATATACTTTTATAATGGATTGGAAAATTTTATGTGTATTCCTTTTCAACCTTTTATTAAGTAGTAAACACTTAAATTTTATAAGGCTTGCTGTCATGCTTACTGTTGGCTATAGACAGAAATAGTATGATGTGAGCACTCAAGCTTAACTTTTTTATTTTTTTATTGTTAGAACCTGGACATATTAACATCTTTAAAAACTGTGAAACTTTTATGAGTTCTATGTATGCGTTGTTAAACGAAACGGTGACTTATTTGCGCAAATATCTACTACACCTTTGAACATCTTGCTCCGACAGTTTGTTTGTTTTGTTTGAAGTTAAGCACAAAGCCACACAATGGGCTATCTTTGCTTTTCCCACCACGGGTATCGAAACTCGGTTTCTAGCGTTGTAAGTCCGCAGACATGTCGCTGTGCCATTGGGGGGGCGATTTTGTTTGTTTCATGTTGTTCGTTTTTATTGTGCTTTAATGAGAAGTACTGATTCAAAAGAAAAAAAATATATATAAATCATTTGATGTAAGTGATAATATCTCACATCTTTTAGTGTAGGTACAATTGATTTTTAACTGATAAATATATAACATATAAGTTAAATACTTTTATAGTATATCTCATATTTTGTACGTAAGAACCTTACTTTAATAGTAAATAATAGTTTAGTACTTTGTACGAAATTTTATTAGTCTGGAAATCAGTTTCATCTCGCTTCTTGCTATAAGCTTTTGATGCATATGGGGAATGAATTCCTTCACATACGTCATGAGTACCTACATCCTGATTGGCCGAGAGTTGATTGCCAAGCGAAGCGAAGCGTGCCAGTCATGAGGCACTTTGTATATTATCAAGTGCGAAGCAAGTGCAAGTATAATTTGATAGAAGTAAGTCCAAGATCGAAAGCTTTATAATAATAAACGAAGCTAAAGTTCGGTATTTTTTTTTGTATTTTGTATGTAATATAAACATTTTCATGATTGCAGATGATAAAGTAAAAGGAACATACATGTATATAATTTCTTAAATGTTCTGGCAGTGCTTAAGTTGCGGAAGGATACACGTCTTGATTCAGACGAGCTCGAGAATCGTCCAAAGACTATAGTTTAGACTAGGGTATAGACACTGAGGTGATTTGAGTTGGAGGTGAATGTTAATAAAAGCTGTTCTTTTGGGTATAACTTGTTCGCGTTTGTGTATGACGATGGATTTGCCTGTTTAGGATTCTGTGTATCTCTGGATGAAGAGTTTTCGATGGTATTTACTGTGTGAATTCGTTGATTTCTTTTTTACGGAATGCAACGCCGATATTCGATCTATGTTGTGACGATAGTCTTGCTGACAACTTTCAGCCCTGCTGTCGTGCAAGGTAAGGTTTAGATTCTGAGTGTATGTAGCCTGTGTAGGAATAAAACAACTACTCAAAGTCATAAGATGTTATATACTTTTTTATATGTATACTTTAATTTACTTGGGATTAAAGACGTTCAATGAAATAAATCAAGTGTACAATCGTTAACTTAAAGCCACTGTTGTTACTGTTAGAAATATGTAACTTGTATTGAATTGGAAACTTAATGCAATTTGCATATGGATAGTTGTGTTGTATCGATTAGTATATTTTCATTCGGAAAATGCAAGATTTATTACTGATGAGTTGTGAATTCGGTGAAACTAATCTGTTGCGACGAAAGTAGCTAATCATAGTATAGATTAGGCCTCACTTCATCTTTTCTTCACTGAAATACACGTTTTGGCGGAAAAAAAATAACGTTTCCATAGTTATTTTTAGTTATTGTTTTCATTGCATATTATTATAATTATCATTCCAAGTTGACCATGAGTAAGACAACTTAAGAACCGGATGAAAAACTTTGTTTTGTCTGTTGAGAAAACAGTGTACCTATCTAGAGAAAATCCCTGGAAATGTTAAATAAATGTCGTTGGAAGAAATTTATATTTATAGAGAATACAAGAATTGCACATGTCCTTTAGCTAGACATTGCTTCTGTGCAAGTTTAAGGCAATGTTTTGATACAGTTTACCAGAAGTTTTTTGCAAGAGATGTTGATAAATGTGTGTATAAGTTCTTTATTCTGTCAAGTACCTCTGTCTGTACGTGAACGTGGGGTAGGGTGGGGTGGTGATGAGGTGTGCATAGTATTATCAATAAACTGTGCAATGACGTGTACATTCAAGTATATATACGCACCAGAGTGCTCATATGTGATAGTACTTCAGTATAATTAAGACATGATAGTCTTAGTTAGACATGATAGTCTTAGTTAGACATGACAGTATAGTTAGTACGTGGTAGTACCACAGTATAATTAATACATAATAGTAACACAGTATAATTAGTGCGTGATTGTACCACAGTATAATTAAGCATACTTTTCAACGATATATAAATGTTTATCGAGTATTGTTAATATTTTGCAGTTAAGTCAGGTATGTTCAACTTACTTATATGTATATGACAAGGTGTATCAGGTGTTCTGGAGTTTGTCATCCTGTATTATTCATAGATAAAATTAGAATATTTTTTTGTTCAACACCATTTTTTAGAATATTGTTTTTTGTATGTATATGTATGTGTTTTCTTTCCGCCTTTTCTGTACAAAGTAATCCTAATTTTGTTGGCAATTTTTGTTTTTTTTTATAAAACAGTGAAGGATTGTAAGATTTTGAAGAAATTTTTTTTTTGTTTTACCCACGGGAATAGAATAATTGCTAAGCACTAAGCTACTCTGCGGATAATCCGCGCTATGCCCGCTGTAGGGATCGAACCCCGAATTTAAGTTCACATCTTATGGTTCTGCTAACGTGAACCGAGTCCTATTTCCTCATATCAAGAAATACCCGCTTCAATTGGTGTAAACTGTGTGCATGCACTCGTCGGAGATATGCTAATTTTTGGCCATTTTAGGGGGATTAAAAGGTTAAAACCTAACCGATAATTTTAGGTGTTTTCGTCACTTACTTAGCCATATTTCGACCAATTTACATGGGAGTTAGTTGAAAGATACTCTTTGCAGGTATCAAACAGAGATATAAACAATTTTGGATTTTTTTTTGTGCTCAATATTTAAGCGAGGAAATCACGATTTGGGGTTTTCGCGAACTATTAATGTATATGTCAACCAACCTAATATAGGATTTGGTACAAGGATTCTTTCTTCCAGGTCCTAAACAGTGATATAGACAGTTTTTAATTTTTCTGGTGTCAAGATTGGCCATGCTGGGATTGCGTGGCGGAGACATGTTGCATTCGTCCTTGAATGTTGGCCTCTTTAATATTTTATACGAATGTTTATACATATATGTATGGTTTTGCAAATGAACATAATCAGAAAATCCGTTCCGCACTTAGTACTTTAAAATGATTTGGGGAAATATAACTTTGTCATGTACCAAGCAAATGCTATGTATGATAGGTATCTATCTAATGCAGTCACTGAATGTCTCGAAAACGATTATTATTATTATTATTTTTTGTTTGGCACTAATTTTATAAGTACTAAGTACCCGTTTTTAGCTTCGTGAGCCATCAAAACACTATTCGTATATACGAATAATTCACCATGTTCACAAGTAGTGGTTTAAGTAAAGGTTGTTCGGTTGTTGTTATTCGCAAAGCTACGCAGTGGGCTGTCTGTGCTCTGTCCACTGCGAGTATTGAAATCTCATTTCTAGAGCTAGTATCCATCAGACTTAGCGCTGAGCCACACTAGGGCATTTTTGTTAAACTAGAAAGAGACTTTTATACTTTGGACTTGTAGCCCTGGAACAGTCGGTGTAGCTACGGTTTCAAAACACTATAGTGTGATCGATGTCCTATTTTCAGGTTCCAGCAGGGCAGTTCGCTTTTCTCCTATTTCAGATACACATCTATATGGCGTATATTATACAATTAATACTAAAACCAATTGAACAACTATTGTTTTTTTTTGCCTGTTATTATAGGGCAGTTAAGCTTTTCTAGCGTCAGTATGAGTGAAAACAGATTTAACATCAGTTTAATTTTTTTATTTTTAATTTTAAAGTTACATTTAATGTTAAAATATTTTTATACACACAGAAGTTTTTTAATGAACTTACATTTTAGGAACTAACACTGGCAGTAAAAACAAAGGTTTCAATTATTTGGCCATATGTTTGTATAACTTCTCTTTATCCAAGAGTTTTGATAAAAAGAAATGCCCGTGTCGGAGATTTTGGTATCTAGTGAAGGTGTGGCGATACAGCGATACGATACGAGTATCGTATCGTGAATTCGTGATACGATTGCATCGATACATCGTCCGATATTATATGATTTATATATCTTCACGAAATTTGGCTAGTTTTCAGTAAACATTATAAATCTTTTGTACAGAAAAAATCAGAATTTCTAATAAAGTATTTTGTTAAAAATTAATGATTCAATAAAGGAAGATGAGGATTGAGTACTACATATTGTCTTAATTTCTTTTATCAAAAACATTACATGCAAAGTAACATAAATTACTAATTACAAAATAGACAGATATATATTAACTTCTGTAAATTTTTTACTTATCTTGCCAGCTGCCATTTAGTGATCAGACCTGAGAATTTG